TCAGAAGACAACAGTCTGAACAGGAGCATAGAAAGGACTAGTTGTGAACTGTATAGAAATGGACATCTGGCTGCCTGCATGATAGATGATGATACGAGACCAGTAAAATATTTAAAATGAGGCCTAAGAATGGCTAAATGACAAAATTAGATATTTCACACTTGCCCAAAACATAACATAGTTTCATGATTGGAGTGAAGAAATGTAAATCGAGGTATGGCAGAAAAAAGCTGCTTTACAGAAGATGCACTGAGATGAGAAAAGATAGAAAGAAATAGAGACAGAATTTGACATCCTGTGCAGTTTCCTTCCCATTTCAAAGAAGTGTTTGTGGGAAGATTATGGAGAAGAAGACAAAACTGAAAAAAAGGAAAAGAAATGGAGGGCAAAGAACAGCTAAAAACTGGGAAAGAAGAGGACAAAACAGAGTGACGATAATAAATAATTTTTTTCTTGTTGTAAATTGTAAACAAATTGTAAAGTTATTAAATATTATTTAATAAAAGAAATAGAAATGATTATTATGATTATTTAAGTTGTTAATGGGGGAGAGAACATGACAGATGCAAAGATGTGAAGATATTGACTGATAGTGACCTAACATGCAAGTAGAACATTTACTGGTGTGAGTAAAGGGAAAATTGAGTCTTGAAAACACTGAACTAATAGCAGAAATCAGGCAGGGAAGAAAAGATACAGAAAGAGAAAAGTGCTTGTCTTTTCTCCTATTAAATTTAAATCAGGGATAAGGAATTTGTAAACAAATTGAAAACTGCAACAACATAATGTACCTTCTCCCTCTTCCCTTTCACAAAAGCAAGACATACATACCAAATATGAGAGCCCTATAACTTAGTGTACGCATTGTTAAAAGCGTCAGAAGCAAATTCTTCTTTGAGAATGTAAAGAAGCTGCTGCAGCAACACAGTGAAAAATATCTGAGCCTGGTTCTCCGTATTATGAGACTTGCACAGGTTACTCGGAACCTAATGCCAATGTTTCATCTCTTTTTGGGCCAAGAATCACCTGTGGGGAAAGCTAGAGATTATTATATGAGTCTACCCTCTAGAACAAATATTTATGTCAAGCTTCCAGATAATGTAGATACTTCTACAAGCAAAAATCTTGAAGTCCTTGTAGCAGTGCTGGAGTTTCAGAGTTGAAGTACAAGTCACGTTGCATTTATCCACTCATGGCATTAATGCACTTACGTATGGGGTTTTTTCCCTTGCAAAAAAAAAAAAAAAGAATATCTGCATGAATTTCTTATTTTACTGTATTTTATTACTTTTATTTGCTTTTAAATATAAGTAACTTAATTTCAAAGTGCTTCATTTCAGTTTTCAAGTTTCTGGAGAACTTTGGGTTTCATTCTGTGTTTGTCAAATAATAAGTAAAATAACTACTTCAAATCTTTGACTAGTATTTTTATAACTGCCGTAAATTAATTATAACTTACTTCAGGTTGTTAAGCTTTCTATTTTGCCATTAAGTTTTATTGATAGTGAGGAAATATGAATTTTCTGTGGAACTGTGTATCATTGCAGCAAAACTTGGCATCCACCTAAAGCTAAGAAAAGTCTTGTTTGTTCCCTACGGAAACGCTTCTAGAATTAACTTTGGTTTTTATGTATGCAGTATACCCTCCTAGACTATCGTTTAGTTTAGCTTGGCCTGAAGCAAAACATTTCAGGATATTTCAGGAGATCCTGATAATGTAATTAATCTTATAAAAATAATACTAAAATTCATTCTTTATTTTCCTATCCATAAATTGTATGGCTTTCCATCGCTTGTATAGCTCCATTCTCACACTGTCAGTGACAACTGTTAACTGTGTCATTATACTGGACAAAGATTGGCTTGGTGCCATTAAAAAAGGGGTAGGAATTGGTGTCTCGTTTTGCCAGAGGCAGAGCAGATAGGGTAGCCCTCCTTTGTGACAAATTCTCCCCAGACTTCAGCACTTTTCATTAAGAAAAGGTGAATTCTGTCAGCATCAGCAAGCATTTGCTTCCTGTCGTAGTGGAAAAGGGTATGACTCAGCAGTTGTCCTCAAAACCTGTAGAGACAGGAACGAGCAAATGGGGTTTAGGAAAGCTCTGTGTTCCATATGGAGGGTTTGAATTCACCCAGAGAGGGAAGTCAGGAACTGAACTCTAGCTTAAAAACTGAACTTGCTGACTCCTACCGGAGGAGAGAATGCACTGGAAACTGCAGCAGAATGTTGGTAGTCCAAACACCTTTGGTCAGTATCATTGAAAGTTTGAGTTACTGCTGTGTGGTGGTTGCTTGTTGTAATACATATTCTGCAGCCACTCCTGAGACTTTTTCCACTGAAAGTGGAAATATCACAGCAGCTGTAATAAAAGCTATTCAGAAATGTGAAAATAATAAAGCACTGTGTGCTTTTAACTTGCATATATTTTGCTATTTTTATATACCTCTTCTTTTTATTAAATTCTTAATGAGTGGATTAAGTGTTTGTAGGGATGAGTAATTTGAACTGGTCTTGCAGTGACCTCCTTCTAAAGAACCCATTACCTTTAGTTGTTTTTTCTTCTCCTATAATCAATTCGGATTTTGAAATACCAAAAGGCAAAATATTTTGAAAACATATTGTTTCAGAATTACATCCCTAAATGAATGAAAGAAGTAATGATTTTACTTGACACTGTATGAAGAAAATGAAGGCAGTACAGTGAGCTTTGCCTCCAGTTTTTCTTTGTTATTTGTCATGGATGTAAATAATTCCCATCTATAAGCAGAAAAATAAGTTAGGTATTTGAAAATGTGATTGCATGAGTCTAGTTGGAGAATGTTAAAATTTCCTGTGTGTTTTGCCATGGTAGTCTTTAGGAAAAGTGAGGCTGTTTTGCTGAAGTATAAACTAATTAGAAGTTAATACTATTTTTTGATAGAGTACCCATGCTAAGCTAAAATGTTTATGTATTTCATATGTATACCTATGTAATTAAGCATTTGCAAATTTCTTTCTCTTTAGGAAATACTTCTGCAAATCAGTACTCTGTATATAAAGAGTTAAGATCATATTGTCTGTTGTTTAAGGTGAGGATGAGGGCAGATATTATTATTTTATAATACATTCTTAATCCTTTGTTCTGAGACATGTTGGAAGTTTTCATTAGAGTTAAAATATGTTGCATGTTTACAGAAAGCCAGAAATTTATGTGGACCTTTCAATTTTAATTATTTGAATCATTAAATCATTTATTTTTTTTGCTTAAGGATACAGGAATGTGCCATTAAATCTATTTTTAAATATATATATTTTTTTCCAGTTTAATGTCTGAATCCAAATTCATAAAGAGTTGGAAAAAATGAGATGTCTGAGCTATAGGATTCACGGGGATTTCATATGAAGCCTATTTAATCAGGATAACACTGTTATTAATATTCATAAAGTCAGCTGGAACACAGATGACAGACTATGCGAGCCTAAAATTTTTTACTTGTGAATTTATTAAAAGCAGCTTAAAAAATTAATGGAATTTAAGTAAAGTTGACGAAAATGAAAATCTTATGTTAGCAGAAAAAATCTTTATTAGAACTTTCTCTAAGACCATCTTGCATTGATATCTTTGACAGATTTCAGTGGTACTTAAAGAAGAAAGATGCATGAATGGTCATTTAAAAGGATTTAAACACATTGGCACATTAATTTTTACATGAATAATAAGTAGTTTCCAAAAGCAATTAACTTACAGTGTACAAGATTTGAATTGGAAAATAGGACCATGACATCAAAGGGCAAAGCAAATGTGCTGTACATTTTAAACTTTTAATAACGTGATTACTTGAAATCTATTTCATTTCCACAGTAGGTGAAGTAGCAGTGAAGATGCTTATGTACAGCTTTGGTTTGTTTGGAAGTATAGTAAGATCTGGAGCAAAGAAATACTTTGACAACATGCTGTTGGTAAAGAACACAACTGCATGTTTTAACAATGGTGATCATATGCTTTTGAATCTGGCTTTCTTTACATTAGAGCTTTTGTGCATGGAAAATATGCATATATTGAATTTTTTTTTCTTTACACACATTGTTATAAGTTTCAGTGGGAAGCATTTGTTCTTTCTATATTTTTTTTGTGGGGGAACAAATAAGTAGACTGGGAATTTCCAATTAACAGTGGGACTATATTAATTAATTAATACTCATATACATAAGTAATTTTGTACTTAAATTTGTAGTGTCATTTTTACATGACTGTTAAATGTTATATTCACCAGAAAAAAACCAGTTTCTGGCTTTCTTTGCTTGATGTACAAAAGGTAATTTTTAATACAACCACAGGTTGAAGTGAAGAAAACTAGTTTGTAAAATTAACTCTGGATTGTGGGTCACAGTTTCATTCTGTATTCTCATTTTTTGTCTTGGTCCACCAATATACTTTGTTTATCTCCGGAATGAGTTTATTTTGATTTTTATCTTAAATATTGTGTTGACCAGAAGACTCTTTAATTTGTAAATGTGTTTCAATATTGACTGCTGTATCTCATTATATTCAAATGAGAGTAAATTAAAGTTTTAGAAATCATTGTATTTCATTTTTTCTGAGGCTTCCTCCTAGAAAAACCTTCATGACCATGGCCAACTCCTGATTGTTGTTGATTTGGCAGAATTTTTTCTTTAACACTGTCTGAATAACGTTCCAATTAGTTTTGGTTCGAAAAAATACCTTAAAGTACCTACAGTTAAAAAATGTGTATGTCTAGACTGATTTGTAAATATTAGGCATCAGTTAGATATCGGTTGCAGTGTTTGTATTCAGAATAACCTAGCTACTTAGTGCATGGAATATTTTGTTACTCTATTTACTAATGTTTTATTTCTAATAATAGGGAAAGCACACTGAGAAACTTGGGCAATCCCAAAAGGTCCTTCTATTTGACTTCGATTAATAGGTTGCCTAATCTGTTCTCAACAATACTTTCATTTTCTGTATGTATAAAACAGAACAATTCCTTTTAATTAGCAGAACATCTTTCACCTGTGAAGACCACGGAGTCTCCAATTCTATGAGAATATTCACTTGATATACTCTATTATTTCCAGGAGAGGGCAGCATTTTCCTACATCAGGTACATAAAAGAACCAACCCTGCTTAGACTGTCAATGTTTCTTGTAATTACTCCCAGTATATTTGTTGCTTGCTTATGAATTAACTTGCATTTATGGAACTAAATCATTCCAATCATTTAATTACACCTGAGGAGCTGAACTATAATTGCTTGCTTCCAACTAGGATCTGATATGGCTTGAGCAGTATTAATTTGATGTTTACTTTTCTGAGTGCTAAAAGCATTAAAATGATTGTGCAATGGGATTACATTTTACTAATTGCTGGCATTCATTAGCTGGGTAAATGGCGAGGAAGAATGACTGTATATTGTGGAGGGATAAAATTATGGTTTTAAATAGTACATTACTAGGCACATTAAGGCCCTAAGACATGTTTTAAAATACTCTAGAGGTTATTAAATACCGTATTTTCTTCATGTCTTGCTATATGAATATCTTATTAAAATACTGCAATTATTATGAACCTTTTTATGCAATATGTAGGCAACACATTTCTTCATATTAATAACCTTCTATATTTTCAGCTAATCCAAAAGTAAATGAGGAACTTAGGAAAAGATTGCCAACTCCAAATCAACACAATTACACAGAATTGAAAAAGAAGAAGTGTACAGCTTCATTTGAGGACTTTTGTAAGGAACTTGGTGTTCTGCAATATGAGGTGAAGTTTTTTCTTTTCTTTTTTTATTAAGAACTAAGTACCTCAAATCAACACTTTGCTTTTGTCATGCATACTTACAGGTAACCACAAATATGAGCTTAGATAGGTATTTTTTGAATGCTTAATATAAATGCTAGTCTTAAATCTTAAGTGTTTACATTTTTTTTATAATCTCAAAGTTAAAAATGAAAATTTATATAGCTTTGGGGGTCATATAGGATAGAAGAATTGCTTTCTCTATTGCCTTATTAGTTAAAATGTACGTCCTCATATAATACACTTGAATTTAAAAATTTTTTTTATTTTTAACTCTCTTACATTTACTATCACAGTGACAACTCTCTGAGTATTTTCATTGCCCAGCCAGTGTCTCTTCAAGCCATGTGTTGTAGGTATTTTTTGTTTTAATAAATATAGAAAAAATATCCTGGGAAAATATAAAAGATATACACAACTTTGGTCAAAGAAGAAAAATTGTTCTTTGTATAAAACATTTTAAAGGAGATGCTTGGGTAAGTAATGAAATGCATGGTAAAGTTACTGTATTAGTAAGAGCGCTAATTTCTTTAGATTCCCTTGATAGATTTAATGTAATTGAGTTTTAACCCATCAGAGAGGATATGTTTTAACATTCAAAATATTATATTGTAAGCCTAGTATTTTACTGTAGATCTTATTTGTTAGTGCTGAGGGTTAGCTCTTGAAGATCTTTGGTTATATGAAATATTTCAACAATGTAATTAACGGTTTTATATGAAATAATATGCATGCAAATATTTGGATGGGTTATTTAAGAAAACCAGTCAAATATCTGCAAGTTCAGAAATGGTTATAGGCCACTTTACTAGTACTTTATCCATGGATTGCAGGCAGGTGAAAGGATGTTTTAAAGGAGTGAAACGCGTACTGCCTTCTGTAGTAATTAGTAAAGTGAGCAGTCTTATTGCCTCCAGTGGGGCTACTCACTGTAGTTTGTGCTGTGCTCAATAGCATGTATTTGCAAGAAGAGGCTCTACAACAAGAAGGCAAACTAATAAATTTTTCAACAACAGCATTGCGTGCAACAGAAAGCTGAACAAAACCATTATATAAGCTAGATGTGTGAAGAGAAAATCTTTTACTGAAAAATATAATTTGGCACTGACTGTTAGGGTACACAGACTTTATTGTCCTACTATAAATATTTTTAAATCATTTGTCTTGTAAATTCTCTGTCAAATAAAGGCAAAGTATAGGTGTGTTATAATGCATTGTTTCAAGTTTATTTATCTAGAGTTCACTTTATTTTAGCTCTGAAATCTTGGAGCAAAAATTAGAGTCAGTGCCAGATCAAACAAGTTCAGAAGAACAAATGGAGGACTGGGCAAAAGGTAAGGACTTTTAAGATATTAATAGGGAACTTCTGGTGTTGTACCAGTGCTAGGCAGCGATTGGAACATATTTGTTCTTGACGATATAACCAACTAACCGACTTCAGAGGTAGTGCTTGGTGGGTTTTTAGTTTTTTGTTTTTTTTTTTTTTTTAACAGGAGAGCAGCTGCAAATATGTGATTCTTTCTAAACTTCTGTGTAGGAGGGGGCAAAGTAAGGAATGTAAATCATCAGGTCTCATTGTGTTTGACTGTTGAAACTTTGCTGTAATTTTTAGTCTTCACTACATTTTTAGCCTGTAAATTGTGCTTTGCTTTCCAAATTTTTATTTATTTATTTATTAACAAACCTGAAGTCTATTTTGAAGTAACTTTTTAAGCTACTTGTGCCTGGCTGAAGTATGATTAAGTCATCTACTAGTATTAACTGATTTCGTATTAGGCTTTGAGGTAGAGAGGGCCTTGGTTAACTTGGACTGAGGGGTTTGTGCCCCTTGCATGGTTCGTGGAGTTATAATCTCTCCATCGGGATGGAAGGATCTTCTTGTATTTGGATGACCCAGTTGTTGCTCTTGGATATGATCATTTTTGTTTCATGGCAGAAGCGTACAAGAGTTAGCACTTTACATGACTGACTGACTTTATGCAAGTGCGAGAAAAGTGACCTGTGACTAAATGACTTGTGTAGGTTGAAGACAGGCACAGACACGGGAAGGAAACCTTCAGTACATCATAAAAGGGTGGATTTGGTTGGCAAATGGCTCTTTGTAGGTCCAAAAAAATTGAATGGATGTGTCAACCTCAAAGGTGCCTGCTACATCAGATCCTCATAGCATTTTGTGAATTCTTCTTTTGGAATTTTATCTTATGTGTTCTTTCTCAAAAGATAATAAATGTAAATTTTGTCATGAAGAGAGTCTGATATTTAAAAGAAAAGAAAAAATACTCCATTTTGGAGGTGATTATACATTTCTTACAAACGTAAAGGAAATGCTGCCTATATTATCCTCTATAACATATTAGTTGAAGACCCCTTTTTTAATTCATGGAATTCTGAGCTTCTACTGAGCTAATTTAAAAATGTTTTTGAATCAAATACACTGAAAACAAAAGTATTCATAGTGTCATAACTTAGCAGAAAATTGTATTCTGACAACTTATACTGTATTTTAAATGTGTTATTGCCTATTCAGATCTAGTATTTTTAGACCTTTAGGGGTCAGCATACTCTAAGAATGGTTCAAAAGGTTAACTTTTCCAAAGTAGGCTAACAGTGAATACCTTGAATTGATTCTCTGTCAAATATTTCCTGACCAATTGCAAGAAATTGTATTCTTCTACAGTTCACACCCACTTTAAAAACTAGCTAGTTACCAAGTTTCATGTATGTTTTTTGCTGATGCATTAAGTTTATATTTTCTGTTGTTTAGAACACTATGTCTTCCAAGCTTACATTCCTGTGTTTTTGAATCTAATAAGGCTGGCATACAAAAAACTTGAAAGAAAACTTGGTATCCTAATATTTTTTGTAACAATCATAAGTAATTATATTTTTACTCTTAAAATAATTTAAAAAAAAAAAAAGGGAGATGGTTATGGAGGGTACTTCATGTCACCATATTGGTTTGAATGAAGAAATAATGTTTTTCTGAAGTTTTTATTTGGACATTAGCAATACAAATATTTTATGTTACTGTAATTTATCTAACTGCCATCTTTGTGATAAGAAAGTGTTCATTATGTACCCTTAGTAGACAGCTCTTGCTCATTTTCTCATTGAACTGCTAAACCAACACAACTTTTAACAATCTGTTTAAGTGTCTAAACTTGAAATGTTTTCTGTTTACCTTTCATTGTCATTCAGGGTATCTTCCCTTTCTGAAGTAGCAGTGTACCAGTTCTAGTTATCCCTCGCTTGTAACTTCGAAGTTAAAAAAATTTGTGTGTTTTTGTTGTTTTTGTTTGTTTACTTTTAGAAAAACCTATAATGATTATTTCAGAATTTGTTTTATTAGATACTAAAAGATTAGAGAATAAATTATTTGTTAAAAAATAAGTAAATACTCTTAAGCATATCTGATAATAAATTCAGTTGACTAGATGAAAATTCAGTCAAACAGTGAGAATCTAAAAAAAAAACAGCAAAAGTGAGTACAGAGAATGTATAGAGAAGTGGCAGGTTTATGGCAGTTATGTGGGATAATATGTAACCTGTTAATAAATATTATGAAATAAAATACTTTAAAGAGGGACAGCATTTAAGAACAGTGTATCTGAAGTGTTTGATGGCTGAGTGTTTTTTTTAACTTTCCAGATTCTGTGGATTATAAATATGCTTGTGTGGATTCAAGTCATGTTTCTGTCTCTGTTCTCACATATTAGGCGAAGTTAAGGAACAGCTTGTGTGCAAGGATTATTATTTGGGTTTTGTATCTAATTTAAATGTACTGTTTATCTCCACAGGACCTAGTTTTTAATAGAAGGATAGTGACTTTTCTCATTTCTCTCTAAGAATACTTGAGAGAAAGGATCTGGAGCATTGGCAGCATGCCAGTGAAGACTAATTTCCAAATGAAATGTTCAGACTCCAAGCTAGAAAGCCTAGGACTAAGGTCCATTATAAAAATAAACTTTTACTGGCAAACTTGCATAGCTTTTACATTTTGGGGGGAGGGGACAAGACACACTATGCACCTAGGTGAAGAGCTGTTACTTTTCTAGAGTTTAAATGCATGCCAAAACCTGCACAAATGTTAATACTGTGAAAACATACAAGGAAACTTGAATCCGTACTGGGTGCTTTACATACTTGCATATTCATACAGGACTTGATACGTCAATTTTCAAAAAGAGTTGGCAGGATAGGAAAGTGGTAAGTGTGCAAATATTGAAGGTAAATTTGTGTCTCATTTGACTTGTATCATGTACTGTGTTTGAATGGGTGCAGTATACCAAGTTGTCTCTTTACTATTGTAATGTTTTTGCCTGTGTTAAACTTCTGCCACGTGCTTAAAAGTCACAGACGTTCAAAAAGTAGATGAAGTCTTAACATATCAAATAGTTTGGTTTGATATGACAGAAAACTTAGTTTTGCTGACTCAAATGAAAAGCATTATATAATTATTATTTTGAATTTTTTTAAATGAGGCAATTAATTTTAAGGGCAAAGTGTTTTGCTTCCTTTAAAAGGTTGTTGTTATATTTTCCAATTACAGATATACATATGTGTGTGGATGTATGTATATATTTATGTTTCTAAATCACTGCTTAAAGCAGATATTGAAGGGAATATCAATGAACCAGTTTCATCTGTAAGAATTTGATGTCGACTCTTAGTTATGATCAGTATGTTCACTTTCACTATAGCTTATGTTATTCTTTGGAAGAATATTTTTCTGACTCATAAAAATACTTTAAAATTGCATGCCTGGAAGCTAGGGTTCAGAAGAGACTCTATTTTAAAAGAGATGTGATAGTGTAGATTGGAAATGAATTGCAGAACCAGCTTGTGCAGGGAAGTTTGAAAAGTGTTTTGTCTGATGCTAGGCTGCTTTCTAGTTCTGTTCCATTCAGGAGAAATAGAGGAGGAAAACAGAAATGTAAACCTACTTAACAAGTCATGCGTATGTAGCTGCTTAGATGAATGTGCATGTGTTAAGCTTATATATGGTAAATAGTCTTCATTGCAATGTGCGTTTCTGCCATTGTCTTGCATGAATGTATGGTGCTTACTGCTAGGAATCTGGCCATAGCTTTTCTTATATCATCATGATTGTGGCATATATGTCAGTGTATTGTTTACAAAAATACTCTTGAGGTTTTTTTGCTGTGTAGCATGTTATTTCAGGGAATAAAATCTTGCTAGAAATATCTTGTATGTTATTTACTCCATTTGTAAATGTCATTAATTGTCTACCACCCTTTTTGCATTCATTTTAATTGAGGCAATGTACAATCATGTATATAGGTTAGGTAATATGAATTATCCTTTTTTTTTTCCTTTTTCTTTCTTCCTTTGCTAACTTTCAAGAAATGAAACCCTTCTCCCTTACCACATATTTATGGACAACCTTACTAGGAGAAATTAGTTTTTTCAAGTTCTGTAATGATTTTAACATGCTTTTTCTGTGGGTTTGGTTTTGCAAAAATAAAAACTTATGTAATTACAAGGGCTTGTTGGCTGGAATTACTATTGTGTGACTTTCACACAATAATCATATAGCAAGCTAAAAGTCTGAAGGGGTAAAGAAAGCTTTGAGAGTAATATCGTAAGGATGTTTCCCACTTTCATCTGACGCTCAAGTAGTGGAAAAACTACTAGTTGTGGAGGTGCTACTTCTTCCTCAAAACACATCCATTACAGCTATAGATAGTGGGTAAAGTAAATCTGAAGCCCTTCTTCCAAGGCTGCAGTAGAGGCAAAATAAACTATATTTGTCATATTGGAGTCTGTTTTGTCTCTTACATGCCTCAGTAGAAGATGATATGAGCCTGTTCCTCCTTTCCTTGCCTCTTTTAGCAATAAGGAAAGCTATTTACCTGGAAAAGAAAGAAGACCCTGGGTATTTGCAGGGGTATATGCAGAGGAATGCGTATCATATGCGCAAAGAGGCAGAGTCCTGTTCACACACATGGCTCAACTGAGAGGTGTCATGTGTGCTCTGCTTTCAGCATCAGACTCGCTGTGTGCTAGCTGTCACAGATCCCCTTTCAAAGGGAGATGAGTAGTTGCAGGTTTCTCTGCACGGTATATGAAGCAGAAGAGAAGTGGAGAGGATGATCCTGCATGGGTAAAACAACACAGGAAAATGGAGTAGTAACTGCCAGTGATGATAAACATGAAAGATTAAGAGAAAATCTTTCTTGGAGAAAGAGGGAATAGAGCACCCTGACTTTGAAGGAAAGGAGATAACAATAACTGAAAAATCGTCAAATGCTGGTCTTTGCTCCAAATATAACACCCTTCCATGTGTATAAGTTGTCATGCCTCCCTCTTCTAT